CACAAATCTGGTGAATTGTGCGGAATGAATCCACAGAGCAGATTTCGGGACAAGCACAGCATGCCGCCCAAGTCGAAGCGGCGTAACTTCTCCGAAGAGGAGGACTTGCTTTACTACGTCAAGTAGCTTCTGAAATACCTTTCCTTGCTCGCCATGGCCTCATCATGGATAAGTGGACGGCAGTAGCGCATGCTCTTGCGTCGTCCGACAAGTTTGGTCGTCCTGACTTTGACGGCAAGAAAGCGAGCAACATGTTCAGCGCTCTTATCGAAGCTCATATGAAGAAAAACAACGAGTCTGCGCGTGCGTCAGGTGTCGCAGAGGATATGACCGAGAAGGATGCCCTCATGGACGACCTCATCGCCGCGTACGATGACGATAAGGAAGAAGAAGCACGACGTGCCATCGAGTCCAAGCAAGCTTTGGAACAGAACGGAAGCATGGGAGCGTTTGCTCGTGAAGAGGCCATGACCTCGTTGGGGAAACGCAAAAACGGTGACGATGACAGTTGTGGAAGTCCAAGGCCGAGCTCAATTTTCAACGGGAAAAGTTTCATCGTGAAATGGAAGAACGTGAAAAGGACAGAATGGTACTTGGAGAGCACCAACAACATGAGTCAACATTGAAACAACAGGAATCGATGTAGAACTTGATGAATTCATTGATAAACAAATTGTAATGCAAATGAGATCTTTGTTTTCAAACAACAACCACTTCCAGCATGTCGAGGTATTCTTTCACGGTGGGAGCCTCCATGTTGAAGAAGTGACTGATTAGGTTTCCACGGAAGTGGCAGCAGTGGCAATTAGTCAGCAGCGTCGCAATAGACACAGTTTTTGCTACAGGTGAGAGTTGAATCTTCGAAACACCTTGAACGTGATAAAAGACCAAAGTGCCTTCAAGATTTTGAAGTTCCACTCAACCGACTGGCGAACACGGCTCATCCATTTATTGAATTCTTGTTTAAGAGGGCTGATTTTGTTCCCATTAAAGCCAGACAACAAGAAGTCCACGATTCCGTATGCTGGGTCGCCGTAGATGAATTTAGCCGAAAAGAAACCACGATGATGACTAAGGAATTCGAGCAGCTTGCTGTGACGAAGCATGGTGGCGTCATGTCGGTGGCCTTCCATTGTACCAATGAAGTGTACACAGAGGCCGTCCGGGCAAAAGACGGCTTGGCAGTTGAGACAATGCATGCGCTTGTGACCACTACATATCTGTCGTTGGAGATTGTTGCCGTCACCCGCAGGTTGGATACGGCATGTTTGCACATTAGTGCCATCAATAAACCCATAAGCACAGGTCAGTGGAGAACCTTTACGGGCAACCGCAGCGCAGTATCTAAATAAATGGTTAATACAAAGAAATAGGACTAATTAGTACTTGTTGATGTTCTTTGTGACCAAACGCAGGTTGATATACAACAAGTTTCTCCAAAGATTGTACAGGACATTGATGACGTGCAGAAAAATTTCACAGAGAGCAGATCGGGATCTACCGAATGTCTTTGACATGTCATGCAGTCGAGTAGGGAAAGCAAGCCATCCTAACAAGATGCACATTTCTTCATCGCGATGGCCACGGTTGCGATCTTGAGTAACCACAACAGCAGGAAGGCCAAGAAGATGGCCAAGTTGTCGTATGCCGCTGACGTCGAACCTGTAATCGAGTATGGCATTGGCTTCACTCACAGAGTCTAAGTCCAGTCGAATGTCGGGTATCAATGGCCTCTCGATGGATTGCGAGGCCAGCATTGCCATCAGAAAGCGCCGCTGTCTTGTGCTTCTGACCATCGAGAGGAGAAGCAACCCCTCACTTTGAGTGATGGCCATGTGTGTCGCTTCAGTGTCGATGTTCCCAACCAAGTATAACGATTCGTTTCCGATTGGATGAAAGGTCTGGATGGATGCGGAAACTGCAAAACCAATTTTATCAAATTCCAGACACTTTCCGCAGAGCGACTTCTGTCGAAACTGTCGTGACTGGATAATGTGTGGAATGGTTTGCAAAACCTCTCTACTCCCCTAACTCCGGCGAAAGGGAGTGGCAGTTGGGCTGTCAGTTGGCCGTTCTGTTTTCTGTTTCTTTTCTTGACTTGATGAGCGACAATCGATCATTGTCCACTTTCGGAAGGTGTCGTTGGAAAACTTGGTGGCGCACTTCGTCAGGGCGTCGGCGCGCATCTCGGCGGTGGGGACGAAAGCAAGCGTGAGGCGGTCAAGTTGGACAAGTTCGCGCAGGTAGTGGTGGCGGATGTCGATATGCTTGGTATGTTCTTGGACGGCGGTCGACTTGGACGTGGCGATGGCTGACATGTTGTCGCAGTGTAGGACCATGCGGGTGTGTTCAACGCCAAGGTCACCCAAGAGGCCGCGCAGCCATGTCGACTCGCGGGCGGCTTCGGCGGCGGCGATATATTCGGCTTCGCATCTTGAGAGTGCGGTGATGCGTTGGCGGATGCTCTTCCACATGAGTGGGCCTCCCAAGATCGACCATATGAAGCCGGTGGTAGAGCGGCGGTCGGGACGTGTCGCCCAGCTTGCGTCGCAGTACCCGACAAGGTAAATTTCCCTGAACCGAAGTTGATTCCCCATGCTGACGTCCCCGCTAGGTAGCGCAGGACTCGTTTGGCGCCGAAGAGGTGCGGCGCTCGAGGGTCGTGGAGATGGCAGGACAGGCGTTGTACGGCGTGGGCGATGTCCGTTCTGGTGCACACCATGAGGTATACGAGCGATCCAACCATGGCACGGTACTCCCCTTGATCGACAGCCGGTTGTTGCTCATCATGCCATAGGTCTTCTTGGTCAGCGACTTCAGGGGTGGTGACGGGGCGGCAGTTGGCCAGTCCGAATCGTTCGAGGACGTTGGTGGCGTACGCGTCTTGGCACATGGTAAGCAGTCTTCCTTGATGGTGGCGATTGATGCGAATTACAAGCATGTAGTGAACGGGACCTTGGCGCTTGAGCTCGATCTTCGTTGCGAGTTCTTCCACGGCTGCGTCCACGGTGGCCTGAGTTGGGGTGGCGATGATGAAGTCATAGACATACGTGCCAAGGATTTCATTGTCGTTGCCTTGACCTCGGGTGAAGACGCATGGGTCGTGGAGGCTTTGCGACCAGCCCAAGGCGGCGATTTGTGCCTTGCAGTGCTTTTCGAATTCATGGCCGCTTTGGTTCAGCCCGTAGAGGGCCATGGTGACGAACGCGGCCATGCCAGGCTGCGTTTCGTGTCCTTCAGGTTCGACGGCCCATATTGGTGTGATTAACTTGGCTTGAATGTAGGCG